TTGCTGAACCCTGATCGTCTGTGAATTTCCCCAGTGTTGGATTAGTAAGTTTATGTCTAGGAAAATGATGATGAGTCCATCATTTATAATTTGTGCCAATCCAAATCACTTAAAAAAGTATGTCAACAACATTCACCTTAGTCAACAATGCTGATCAAACGGAGTTCTTGTAGTTTGTATTTTTGACGTGGGTTTTATTTTGAGTTTTGAGTTTTTGATTTCAAGTCAGTAAAGCTTCAGTTTGTTTGTTTTCTCTCATTCCAGTTTAGCTTTTCTAAGTTTCAGTTTTACTTTTAGTTCCCTTAAATATTGTGATATAGAGGACATTTATCATGGGATTTTCAGAACTTCAGAATAAACATTACAACCCGACCTCTCTCTGAAAAGCCAGTTAGTCATGTAGACACCCTGAGTCTCAGTGAAAAGATGACACAAACCTCTTCAGAGAGGAAGTGTGGACAAAGATGTTCAAATTGACAAATAACCTGTATATTTTTATTTTATTTTAGTGTTTCAGTAATTTTCTTTTGCTTGAATATCTTATTTGATTTATTTTGTTGTTGTTGTTTTATTTTACTTGACTAAATCATTTTGAGAATAGCAGCAGTATTCAGACCGGATCATATTCTTACATTCATTATGAGACATTCTGTCCTGACTGTGAGTTTGAAGGTGGAGTGACTCAATGATCTGTTGGCAGGTGGGGTTTTGGTACTGCTGTGTTCGAGGAAGAACAAAAGCAGCAAACAGGTGGAAGAGCCTTCAGCTCACATCTACGAGAACGCAGAAACACTGTGGGCTATTCAGGTAAACAAACCTTCCACTGTTACTGACAGAACTGATACTGTGAGTTTTAATTTTGCATTACAAATATTTTTCTAGCAACTCCACAATCCTATATATCTTTGTATTTGGTAGTTCAGTTGAGTAACGAATGGAGCGCTTTAGTATAGCATGTAATGTCATAACACAGAAGAGGATATCACATTACAATGCTGTGTCACAATATAAAATAGCATCATACTATAACAATCATAGTGTATGTGAATAGGTTTGTACGCTGTCTGCTTCCCATGGACAGTGTGTGGGTTTGCTACTCTAGTCAATTTAAACTGTATGAAGTCTTCATGGCCTTGAGTTTGCTCCATGTCCACACAGTTAGATGTAGCTGGCACCATTTAACCACACTTCAGACCGATTATGATCAGTTCAAAATGCAGATACTAGTGCTGAAAATGTTCATTTTAGGCCTTCAACAAGGAACTTAACTAACCAGCCGTAGAGGTCAATGCATTATCTTTTTGAGCTGTGTAGCACTTTTCTACTCTGAGCACCCACAATGCATAGAATCTGCTGAGCCACAGTCACCCTAACATCTCTAAAAACTGTTTTATGTTTGCATCTGGTGATGACGCTGCTATTGGTACCTATGATATCAATACCACTGCTTGAAGTGCTAACACAATACTGCTTCTTCTCTATACTTATGTTGTGTTTCAGGGCAAGGTGATCCAGCCCTACCGAGCAAGACATCACTGAACGAGTTCTTTCAGACGCTACAAGACTTCATTTGTTGTATTTCACTGAAAAACATACAAACGTTTGCGCACGTTTCTTCTCTGCAGCAAATACATTAATTTTTTGTTAGTGCTGTCAGCGTTAATCTTGTTAAAATTATGTTAACGCCATAACCGCATTAACATGACAAATCTGCATTAGCGAGTTAATGCGGATCGCCCCGTGCTTGGGGCTGCGCAGTGTCAACGCATAGATTTGCCACGTCAATGCGGTTATGGCGCTAACGTCATTTTAACGAGATTAACGCTGACAGCACTACATTTTGTGTATTATCAGGCTTGTTGGAAGACATCTGTCCACTTGAGATGTAAAACTTTCAAATCATATGGAAAGTTGTGTATCTTAAGCTGTCAAACCCTGTCAAGCTGGAATCTGAAAGCAGACAATAGTTCAAACTTTAA